AAAAAAAAAAAAAAAAAAAAAAAAAAAAAAAAAAAAAAAATTAAAAATACCTATGATAAAATAAAATTTAAAAATTTAAAAATAATCGGTCAATAAATAGTTTGTGTCAGAATATTTGGGTTCTGTAATATGAGAATAAAAAAAATTTGGTCAAAGTCAACAGAGGGACAAATAGGTCATTTTGCTCCCTCCAACCTCCAATTGAACCCTATCCTAGGATAGAGAGAAAAATAAAGAGAGAGAGGGCTGAGAGAACCTAGAGAGGGGAGAAAGAAAGAGCCGTCAGAAAAACTCACTAGACCACCAGCAGAAGTCACCTCCGGCCACAATCTAATTGAAAGGAGTAGGACTCCTTGGAAGGAAGGAGAAGGTTTGGGTGATTGAAGTCCCATTTTTCCATCGAGAGAATCCATGAGGTAAGATCTTGAGTGTTTTTCTTCAGATCTGAGACCTTTGTGAATCGAGGTCTGAAATCTTGATATGTTCAACTAGAGAGAATTCTCCACATGATTCGTAAAGAAACCTAGCCGAAATTTGGGTCCGAATGCAAACTTCAGAGAGTTCTTCTAAAAATGGTAAGAAATTGAACAAACTTCGGAGCGTTTAAAATCGTGAGGATAACATCAATACCTAATAGGCCAAAGCAGATAATATTTGCTAGTGATGGGTTTGGGCCGCTATAAATGACATCATAGCCAGACTCGGACAGTATGCTAACGAGAACGCTTGTCACAATCGCACTTTTCTTAGCAGCAAACTTTCACGATTGTGTGGTACTCACTCCAAACACTGAGTGAGTCAAGCCAATTTAAGATCACGTTGCTTGTAGAAGGTCAACGTATGCTTAAGCCTCTATCCACGTTTTGAGAAGAAGGTTTTAGAAAACTGGACAGATAGATTTTTAAAAGGGAGTTGGAAAGAGGTGGAAAGAAAGAATGAAAACAATATTATATGACTACAAGAAAAATGCAATATAACGGCTTAAATAGCCTATAAATTTTCGAGTAGGAAGAATTTGACAACTTGCATCCCCCTATAGTACATTTTGAGGTGATTCAGGTCTGGCAGGCCTAGACGTGATTTTGTCAAATGGTCAGACATAATCTAGGCAGAAGGAGTTGACGACTGGTCGCATCCCCCTGTAATACATTTTGGGACATTTTCATAGACATGATTCTGTCGAACCGTCATGCACTTAGAAAATACAATAAGAAAATTATACATCATGAAAGCATTGAAGTGATACAAGGAAAGGGTTTTGGTATGCCACGAGCATGCGACCATGGGCAACATGTCTTGGACATGCATGATCATCACACTTGGCTCTTCGGAGGGTGGATTATGAGATCTCACATCGGTTGGAGAGGGGAACGAACTATTCCTCATAAAGTTGTAGAAACCTCTCCCTAATGAACGTGTTTAATCCATGAGGCGGACATTGATATGTAACGAGCAAAAGCAAATATTATCGGTTAGTGGTTGGTTTGCCGTTATATGTTCTCACTTTTAACTCTTAGTGCTAGATTCAATGCCTTTCTGGTTGTCTCGTGGTTAAAAACAAAGAGGTCCCCAACACAAACTAGTTCGACATATTGGATGTGATATATTTGGTTGGTTGACTACTACAATCTTACCGTTCGTTGGATTCATTTTTTAAGTGCTTTTAAGTATATATATATATATATATATATATGAAAGTTACCTAGTACATGCAAATTTACGTGGCCTAGTCACTCCATCATCAATGGTAAGTAACAGTAAGTATTTTTTTTTTTCTTACTTGTTCACGATAGTAGCTGAAAAAAAAATGAGAGGAACTATGTGCGTTTAGGAAGTTTAAAACGCTTTTTGAAAATATGTCCAATCACAAGTAAAAAAATGTTGCACACCAACCAAGGTTTTGCGAAAAAAGAAGGAATCGAGCATCAACTCATCGCATCCTACACTCTACAATAAAACGATGTGGTTCAGCAAAGAAATCGCACTGTAATTAATGTGGCAAGAAGCTTACTCAATACATGCATGTCTAGGCGATTTTCTGGGATGAAAATATGACATGTGATTTATCTTTTAAATCGTCTGCCGACAAAGGCATTGGACACTATCACTTTCTATGAAACCTGGTTTAGTAAAAAACCTCACTTTGAGCACCTAAGAGTATTCGATGGTTGATTGTATAGCCAAGTTATGACCGTAGAGCTACATATCAAAAAGCTTTATGATAAACGTCAAAATCTGTATAAAATGTTCATACATTATTATATAACAACACAACTTAAGACAGACAACAAAGGAAATTCAACAATAAGATATCAAGTATATGTGAAAATGATGATTTAGCACGCCCATTCGAACCGGTACCTAAAACACGCACCTTAGACCAACTCAACCATCTTGACTTCTTTAATATTATTTATTGTGAGATCCTACATGAGTTGGAGAGGAGAACTAACTATTCCTTATAAAGGCGTAGAAACCTCTCCCTAACAAACATATTTAAAATCAGAGTCTGACGGCAATACGTAACAAGTCAAAGCAGATAATATCTGCTAGCGGTGAGTTTGGGCCATTACAAATGGTATCATAGCCAGACACTGAGCAGTGTGCTAGCGAGGACGCTTGTCACAATCGCGCTTTTCTTGGCCACAGACTTTTACGATTGTGCGATATCACTCCCAATACTGAGTGAGTCAAGCCAATTTAAGATCACGTCACCTATGGTAGGACAACATATGGTTAAACCTCTAGCCCCGTTTTGAGAAGAAAGTTTTAAAAAGTGAGTAGAGAAATTTTCAAAAGTGAGTTTGAAAGCAAGGTGGAAAGAAATAATGAAAACAACATTATATAACTACAAGCAAAAGACTAACACAATAATTTAAATAACATATAATTTTTCAAGTAAGGAGAATTTGACAATTTGTCGCACTCCCCTAGAATACATTTTGAGGCGACTCAGGTCTGACAAACTTAGATATCATTTTACCAAACCGTCAAACAAAATCTAAGTTGGAGGAGTTGACGAATGGTTGCCTCCCCCTATAGTACATTATGAGTCATTTCCGTAGATATGATTCTGTTGAACTATCATACCGTCAGAAAATATAAGGAAATTATATATCATGAAATGAGTGATTATTATATATATATATATATATATATAGATATGTGTGTATGTATGTATGTATGTATGTATGTATGTATGTATGTATGTATGTATGTATGTATGTATGTATGTATGTATGTATGTATGTATGTATTTTATTAAAAATAAAAATAAAACAGTAGGTTTATTATTAAAGGTTTTAATTAATGTGTGGGCCACATCACAGTTATGACGATGGTGAAATTGAGAAAAATCATTCTAATGGGTCAATTTAATAAAAAGTTAAATTAAATTAAATTCAGAAAGTTCCAAGAAGATGCCAAAATTATTAGGAAGTGTAGAGTTGATTTTATTTTAGAGAGGAGACCAAATTCGTTGACTTTAATGGGTTATTTAGTTAATTGATGAAACCAATTTTCTTCATTTTTTTTATTATTTAAATACAACAAAATTTAAACAATTAAATATTGGCTTTGGAAGACTCAAAATTGCACATGCTTGTTTAATTAATTAATTACCTAAAATTCCCTCTCACATTTATTTCATTTATTTTTAAAAAATATATTACAATTTGGTCTTAATATTCTAATTCATTATTTATCGGCACTTTTTCAGTCAAGTAATTCGTTATCGGCAGTTTGTCAGTCTTCATTTCATGCTTGTTCTTTCTCTGAAACGATTCATATTGTCAGCCAATCAAAATTTACCATCAAAAGACGGGAGAGTCACTTTAGGTTAAGTTGATCTTGTCATTCACGCAATTCTCTCATCCATCGATAATGACAATATGCATCTAGTCAGCACATATCGAACAAAAAAAGCGTGAATCCTAGATTCTCATACATACATACATACATGCATACATACATTCAACCCTACTTGCTAAGGTCTAATATTGTTTGCTTTGATCTGTTACATATTGGTGTCAACCTCACGATTTTAAAATGCGTCTACTAGGGAGAGATGTCCACCATTAGCAGATATTGTCTTCTTTGGGCTTTCCCTTCAAGGGCTTCCCCTCAAAATTTTAAAACGTGTCTACTATGGAGAGGGTCTAGCCTAGGAGAGGTGCCCACCGTTAGCAGATATATTCCTCTTTGGGTTTTCCCTTCAAGGGTTTACCCTCAAGATTTTAAAACGTGTCTACTATAGAGAGGGTCTAGCCCTATTTTGACCAGTGTCTTGCAACATCCGATAACAGGCTCTGATACCATTTGTAATAGCTCAAGCCCAGATTAACAAATATTGTCCAACCCATTACGTATCGTCGTCAGCCTCACGATTTTAAAACACTTATGATAGTGAGAGGTTTCTACACCTTATAAAGAATTTTGTTTTCCTCTCCATGAGATCTCACATAAAATAAAGTTTGATTTGACACAAAAATGAAAAAAAATATATATTTCTTTTTTAACATTTTGAGAAATATCTAATATTCCACTTAAAATTTAGAGACTAAACGATTAGAAATTTAAGAAAGTTGGTGTGACATCCAATTATAGAAGAAGTATATGAATGAACTTAGATAATATTCAAATGAGAGCGGTCTTAATGACATAATGGCTAAGAAAAACTTAAAAGAATTGAAAATTACTACTTATATCAACAAAATGCACGTCCTTTTTCGATGGCTCAATCAATAGGAACTTCATGGTTAAGCGTGCTTTATTTGGAGCAATACTATGTTTAATGACCTCTTAGAAATTTTTCCGAGATAAACATGGATCAGAGCAAAACATACTGGAAGAACTTGTGTTAGCATGTGGGAATAGTATTCATTGTCAAAACGTGAGGAGTAGATAACGTGATCAAGTCATAGGAGAATATAGAAAAATGTCGGGGCACATAGGTTAGAATCCTAAATTTGAATCATGTGCATGGGTCATGTCTTATGGTATCAGAGCGGTACCTCTCTCGGTAAAATGTGGTTCGGGGACAAATCAAATGAAGTAAGAAGTAGGTAATATAACCATGCTACAAGGAAATGTTGGAACACACAAGTATCGAATCCAGATTTCGAACCCAATTAGAATCCTAACATGTTATTGGATACAAAATTATTAGAAAATAAGTCACTAAGGTTGGGTTTTATGTACAAAAACTCATAGTTTGTAAACAAAAACATATTCTATTTTTAATAAAGTTATTATTGATGTTTATTCAGTAAAGATAGTTATGGAATAAAGTAAATTTTACGATTATTAATCTAAATTCAATAAACTAAGAACACTCTGACTATAGTATGATTATTTGAACTATATGTAGAGACATAAGAGTGGATCAAGTTCAAGTATATAGTCAAAATGATCTATAGTACAGGGATAAGGCTGAGTACCTTATCATGGAGACATTATGGATGCGGCCCACTTTTGTAAATGACATAAACAATATGATCACTAAATTATACATGCGGAGACATGTAAGTGAGAGCGTCCT